CCTTATCCCCAGATTTATGAGTTCTACATATAAAAATAAGCTTGAACCTTACACTTTATTATACTCGGGCAATTTTTTGTTGGGGGGGGGGGGTTTATAGCGTTTCCAATACAAGGCTACATATGATTTTGCCTATGACATTAGCGTTAAGATCTGGGGAGTGTGATTAATGTCAATCGTCCAACTTTTCGAGGCCTTTTTATTTTTGAGAATGTTATAGACCTATAACATTTGAGTAGTTTAGGTGATAAGAAAAAAAAACGCCGCAAAATCGAAAATATAAAATATTTTATTTTAAACAAATGAATACTTACATGTACATAGCAAACAAGTATTAGATAAACTGAGCTTTTATCCACAAATTCAGTTGTGAAATATCATAAATTTACTGTGACTTAAACTATTTCGTTGAAAGAATTAGATTCATTTGATCATTTAGAAAATCGTCTTGAATAAGCAAAGTTTAAATGTCGTCTTTCGTCGAATTTCTATTTGATCTTTAAAGAATCATTAAATGAAGAGACCATTTAAAACTGTTCGTGTAATGGAATCTTAATAAGATGCGTACATACAGGAGAGGGAGGGGGGGGGGGGTAAGTGGACTTAGCTTACCCCCCCCCCTAGATAAGTAAAATCTATTGTTTTTAGGGGGGGGGGGTTCAGGCTCAAACGGCCCCGTTCTAATTGCCCCCTTTGGAAAGAAAAAATAATTTAAGCCCCTAATACACACATTGGACAAGTTTCTGTATACGCCTCTGATTTCAATTTCCTTTTTTATTTATTTCCTGAAACTGATTTACAAGGATGTAATGCAAGGAAAGTTATTTCAGAAGTATACACATCTTTTGTACTGCAGTGTACTGTCTCCGGACGCTAATGTAAACACATGGTGGACAGGGCCAAGTGCATGGTGGACAGGGTCAAGTATATGGTATACAGGGTCAAGTTCATAGTGGACAGGGTCAAGTTCATGGTGTATAGAGTCAAGTTTATGGTGGACAAGGCCAAATGTATGGTATATAGAGTCAAGTTTATGGTGGACAAGGCCAAATGTATGGTATATAGAGTCAATTTCATGGTGGACAGAGTCCAGTATATGGGGGACAGGGCCAAGTACATGGTGCACAGGGTCAAGTACAAGGTGGACAGGGTCAAGTTCATAGTGGACAGGGTCAAGTTCATGGTGTATAGACTCAGATAGAGTCAAGTTTATGGTGGACAAGGCCAAATGCATGGTGTATAGAGTCAAGTTTATGGTGGACAAGGCCAAATTCATGGTGGATTTTGTCAAGTTCTTGGTAGACAAGGTCCAGTACATGGTGGACAGGGCCAAGTACATGGTGGACAAGGCCAAATTCATGGTAGACAAGGACAGTGATTTATTAATAATCAAAATGCATGTTGTAACCGGCCTTTATATGATTAAGTTGTCAATGTCATCAAGAATAGCATTTTCATATATTTGTATCCCTTCATTTTATGCTTAAATACCACCGACCATTCATATATTTGTATCACTTCATTTTATACTTAAATACCACCGACCATTCATATATTTGTATCCCTTCATTATATACTTAAATACCACCGACCATTCATATATTTGTATCCCTTCATTTTATACTTAAATACTACCGACCTTTGATATAAATATTCTTAATCATTGTGTTTAACATTCAAGGGAAACTCGTGACACGTCATCATATTAATTTCACAAGATCGTAAGGGATAATTGTTTTGGCGTACTGTCCAATTTTGCTGTGTTCAGAGTCTGTTCGTAATGTAATGTACTACTGTACTGAACCTAACAGTCGGTCTGGTACTTCAGCACTGTCAACTCTGGTTCATTTTAAGCACTGGGTCGACTTTCAACCAGCTTGAGCAAGCTGTACAGTACAATTACAAACTATGGTAGGCAAACCGGGACGGTACGCCAAATGAAAGATCCCTTACTGTGAAATTTATGTTTCAAAAGATTCAGAGTTTTTAGTCTGACATTAAATAGACACTATAGCTGGCATTGAATAGACATTTGTTGACAGATAACAGCAAACACACCAGATAAACTTGAACAATAGGCCCGTCGGAATTCTGGTGGGGGATATTTATTCTCCCCGGACAAATCTTTTCCGGTTGGCCGCAAATACACACAACAGAGTAACCCCCGTCTCAAGAAAATCGATAACAAAAGCTTTATTTCCTAAAAAATAACATAAATTATAGGTTGGTTACTTGTACAATTTTATAATAAATGTTAATAATAGAAAAAATCTCACGATTTATTTGCGGATGATAAAGGGGTAACTTATTGTTGATCAGTATTAAAAGACGTTTTTAAACTTCTGAAATAAATGACAGTTGAATATTAACGAAAGTCACTAATTCTTTATATGAAAATATTCTTGTTTAACTTTTATGGGTTCACAATAAACGAAAGTGTTTTAGGCTCCGTCCCCGAAACAAAGAAATGGGGGACTGAAATTAATTGGTTTGGTGTCTCCGAGAGGGGATTTCAGTTAAAGACGACATTACACAGAGGTCTTAAAGTTAATGGTTAACAACATTATATGCAATCTTTTTTTCAAATTATCAACTAAAACTGTAAGGCAAGAATTCACCAGGGCTACAAACGTACTGCAATAATCGGTATGCTACAATACTGTCAGTAAAGAAAAAACAATGATTAAATCAAAATTTCGAATCTAAATTCTAATATTATTTAATTGTTCAATGTGATAGGCTTATGAAGTCGAATTTCTATCAAAACTTCAAAACTTTGACTTTAAACCAATATATTTCAGTTTCTGGTCGGAACATGATCAAACTCAGTGATCAGTTTTCCTTTATAGAAACTATTTTAAATTGTTAATAAATATACATATATTTATTATAATCTAATAATAACATAAATATAGAAGTATTACAGTCACGATAAATTCAAGTAAATTTAAAGTTTTGGATCATATCTAGTGTTGTTAATCTTAAACGTTTTGGATCTTATTTAGTGTTGTTAATCGTTTTGGATCATAACTACTGTTGTTAATTGTTTTAGATCATAACTAGTGTTGTTAATCGTTTTGGATCATAACTAGTGTTGTTAATCGTTTTGGATCATAACTAGTGTTGTTATAATCGTTTTGGATCATATGTAGTGTTGATAATCGTTTTATATCATATGTAGTGTTGTTAATCGTTTTGGATCATAACTAGTGTTGTTATAATCGTTTTGGATCATAACTATAGTGTTGTTAATCGTTTTGGATTAAAACTAGTGTTGATAATCGTTTTAGATCATATGTAGTGTTGATAATCGTTTTATATCATATGTAGTGTTGTTAATCGTTTTGGATCATAGCTACTGTTGTTAATTGTTTTAGATCATAACTAGTGTTGTTAATCGTTTTGGATCATAACTAGTGTTGTTAATCGTTTTGGACCATAACTAGTGTTGTTAATCGTTTTGGATCATAATTTTTTTTTAATGAATCCATGGTACCCTGGGGTAAGAAAGGCTAAAAAAACTGTTTTTTTTCAATTTTTTTTCAATTCCACGGGCAACGTCGGGCACATCTGCTAGTAAATAGTACAAATTATACCCGACAAAAGTCTGGTAAATAGCACAACTATATATTAGTATTTTTAGTATTTACATTCTAATCTCTAGTTCATGTTTTTATATATTAGTATTTGTAGTATTAACTTTCTAATCTCTAGTTCATGTTTTTATATATTAGTATTTGTAGTATTAACTTTCTAATCTCTAGTTCATGTTTTTATATATTAGTATTNCGCTGCGGCTAGGACAGGCTAGAGGGCCGAGCGCTGCGGCCATGGGTTAGGTTAAGTGTTGACACTTTCTGGGCCGAGCGCTGCGGCTAGATTAAATATAAATTGTGAAACATTTTTTTAAATTTGATATTATGGAGTTTGTATTTCAGAATTTTTTATTTTCAGGAGTTTGTCTCGTCAGGAGTTTGTCTTTCAGGAGTTTGTCTTTTCAGGAGTTTGTCTTTCCGGAGTTTGTCTTTCCGGAGTTTGTCTTTCAGGAGTTTGTCTTTCAGGAGTTTGTCACGGCGCCCTTTAGTTGAATATTCAACTAAAGGGTGTCCCACGAAACATGACAGTTGATGAAAAGTTTTAAAAGTCTTCTTTCATAGTTTGTTAAGTTGTTCGAACCCCAAGAGAATAATATCAAATTTTTTATGGCCGCCATATTATAGTAAAATTGATTTTAAAGTAAAACATATTTGAGTAAAAGATTTTTTTTAAAAATAAACTGCAAAAAGTCTAAAATATCTAATACCGTATATGGAAGAAGACATTCAAAACTATTCACCACCTGTCATGTTTCGTGGGACACCCCATGTATGTTACCAACCAGAAAACAGTGAAATTATAGTATTCTTAATTCTGTCTTTTTATTACAAGGGCTTGTCAGATTCACGACTGTACTCTAATAAATTTGTCTGATCAAGTATAAATTAAATATCAAACTAGCTGTTTATTTTCATTTCTTTATCTGCAAAAGTGACTTGCGAATATCTTGCTTCAGAAACAATAAGATATTGTCAAAAAAAATCACACTTTTTTCAGGCCAGTAAAAACGACGTTCTTCCACATTATTATCAAGATAAAGGTGCCAAGAGCAATGTTGTGAATTTGGCATGCTCTTTATGAATTGAAATTGTAGATTTATCGTAAACAACACAATCCTCAATTCTGGAGATCCAGGATTAAAAACGACGACCTTTTCCGCTAGATGTCTCTGCCACGTGGAATCATTCAGAGCATCGAGAGCAGAGACACCTGGAGGCCAACTAATCGGCGCGTTTTAAGTGCATTGTATATAAATCAAATAAAAAATATTATAAAATATCAACTTTATACAAATGCGTCGAAAAATTATCGATGATAATAGGTTGTAACAGGGTATTTATGGTTAATAATAATAATTACTCATTTGTGGTATACAGTGATTCTTATTCCAGCTTTAAAACTGATAATCTAATGTAGTTTATTACAATCGAAATCTAGTTTGGTGTTAGTCTATTCTTGAACATATGTACAACTAAACTTAACTGGATTCGTTTTTACTGGTCTCAATCAGCTGTTGATCTTCTTTTAAATCCTCCTGTACAACACCGTGTACAGTAAATTCATCTTGATGTGCAGTAGTTTTATTATTATGTACATCTACAGACTCCTGGTGTACAGGAGCTTCATATCGCTGTACAGTTATATCCTGTACACAAGTGTTGTTCTCCTGTACAACTAGTTTATCTCGGTGTACAGAAGAAACGTGTACTGGTTGTACATTGAGATTTTTCATTGGTATCTCCTGTGCTTGTTTATGTACTGTACATGACATTCTAGAGGCGTCTGCAGTTTGTACTGTAACTCCTTGTACGCTGTAGTTGGATAGAGGGATAACTCTTCCTGCTCGCATACAGTCCCTTATTAAGATTCATTTATTCAACTTTATTCATTTCTTCATTTCTTCAAAAGTATTTACTTAAATCCATTATTTTAGATAATTCATCCGTGTACTTAACTCATTTATTTAATCATTCAGTTGTTCATTTATTTTTTAAACATTTTTCTACACGCTGATTTTAATTTTAAGTGATTTAAATAAAAATTTTATAAATGTCCACTTTTAGGATTCTAGAGTTTCATTTATAAATTTGTTCATATGCCATGTTCTCATAAAACTATCAATTAATCAATTATGCCTTTTAATTTCTACTCAAGCTTATCAATATTGAATATTGAAATACAAAATATGCATTGAATATGAAATGTAATCTATACAATGCCAGTTATTAACCTGTTCTGTGTTAGACGTGGAGCTGCAGTTAATCTGGAACCCGGAGAACACCTGCTGCAGAGAAGAACCAGAAGAACCTTACGGAACTTAAAATCCTAAACATAGATAAAGAGATGAAATTGAAGAAAGAATAACCTTATCTAAGACAATCACGGAGAAGAACGAATGCCGGAAAAATTGGAATACAAAATGAAGAGAAAGCCAACAGCAGTAAAGGAGAACCAGGAGTAAAAAGGAACAAGGAAAACCAGGGGAACCTATTGGAAAAACTGGAGAGTAAACAGAACCAAGAGGAAAACCAGGAGAACTAAGAGAGCCGGGAGAATTAGGGAAACCAGGAGAAACCCTGGATATTTCAGTAGGATCAAAAGAACAAGGAGAAACCAGGATAGTTCAGTAGAATTAGGAGAACCAGGAGAAACCAGGATAATTCAGTAGAATTAGGAGAACCAGGAGAAACCAGGATAGTTCAGTAGAATTAGGAGAACCAGGAGAAACCAGGATAATTCAGTAGAATTAGGAGAACCAGGAGAAACCAGGATGATTCAGTAGAATTAGGGGAACCAGGAGAAACCAGGATAATTCAGTAGAATTACGAGAACCAGGAGAAACCAGGATAGTTCAGTAAAATTAGGAGAACCAGGAGAAACCAGGATAATCCAGTAGGATTAGGAGAACCAGGAGAAACCAGGATAATTCAGTAGAATTAGGGGAACCAGGAGAAACCAGGATAATTCAGTAGAATTAGGAGAACCAGGAGAAACCAGGATAGTTCAGTAGGATTAGGAGAACCAGGAGAAACTAGGATAATTGAGTGAATTAGGAGATCCAGTTGAAAAAAAGAAAACCATAAGATATAGAAAAGCAAGGAAACCCAGGAAAGAAGAACAAAGAGAACCAGAGACCAACGAAAAGAGAACCTAAGAGCAACGAAACCCAGGTAAACCAGGAGAACTAGGATCGAAAACCAAGAGACAATGAGAACTAGGAGAACCAGGAGAAACATGAGAACCAGGAGAACCAAGACAACATTAAGTACCAGTAAAACTCTACCTTGAAAACGTAGATAAGAATATTAATAGATGAGTTGAATGCTATCAGAATATTGCTCAGATGACTCAAAACCTCAAGAACTGGAAGCCATTCATTCTCACTTGGCTCACAACCACGTCTCTCCACAATCTAATCAATCAATTAACATTAAAAGCTCTGAAAGCTGAAATTAAAATTGCTTATTTTAAAATTTATTTTTTTCTAAAACTTACCATCTTTGCCTCATAGAGATTTATAACGTTCTTGAGTGAGTGGCAGAGGAAGTACACGATAACGATACCTAAGCATAGAAAACTGGTTTCATATCCTTGATTCGACCAGCACCTGGGCTTCAGGCAGGTTTAAAATCTGTCCAGGCTAAAAGGAATTGAGTCTTTTTCTGCACAAACTCTAGTTTTCTAATTTATATATCTTTGCAACCCAATGTTGTAGACCTTAGATATTGAAATCTTTGAATTCGGTTGAATTAAAAAATCTAAGTTAGAAATATCAAAGTCTTACACCGTCAAGATTCAGAGATATACTAGGGATTAGAATTGAGTATGTGGCAAAGGCTTAATTCCTTTCAAGTCAGTTTGCCAATTTAATGCAGATTTTCATATCTGTTGTTTGTTTTTACTTTTCATTTTACTAAAGGGATTTTGGCCTAATTTCAAGGGTAACTATATCTCACAATTTCCTTAAGTGTCTCTCCATTATAAATTCACAAGTCACTTCTAATAATTAATTCTTTATCTAGAATAAGCAGGATATCTAATTCATCCTTTGTCAGATAAATATGTTGAAAGTGTACTGTTGAGAATCGAGCATACCACTCTAAGTTCCTTTAAACAACGTTTTGCATCAAAAAATGAATTACTTATGGTTGAAATAATTTTTAGTTTCTATCCGATTTTCCTGTTTAGAATATTTAGTATATATATATCTTTTATTTTGCTTTATTTAGAAAATTGAAAAAATCCATTAAATTTGTTTTTGCATGAACAATTTTACCCAATGGAAATCTAATTTCAATCTGCCGTAACCTTGTATAATTTCAAAACCACGTTTTTACACATTTTAAACATTTTTGGTTTTACCATCATTTTCTCCAAATACGACTGAATAGATAAATTGAATATTCTTCGTATCCTGCATATTTGAATAATTTTAAATTCTTCTTATTTTTAAAAAAAAATTGCAAAGCTATACTATTTTAGAGAATTTCTTTGTTCAGCCAATCCTGGGAAATCTTAATTAAAATTCTATTTTCAATTCAGGGCGCCATGGGAATTCAATATTTACATGAAATTGGTTGAAAGATTGGTTAAAGGCCTTGAAGTTTGATTTTTTTAATATAATTAAATAGTTTACGTTCCCAGGATTTATCGGGGGGGAAATCTGAGCAGTTCTGTATATTTAAAAGCCATCTTTAAAATATTATATTTTTAAATATGCATAACGTTTAACACGAATAAGAGGGTAACATAGAAAAAAACCTCAATGTCTGGGTCAAAATGGATTCAAAATTGAAGTCTAACTGAAAATATGATTTATATGTGCTAAGGAAACTTAGGAAGGTTCTTAACTTGAAACTTTCCACAAAATAACAATCCGAGGGAGGGAGTGTGACGCCGAGTCCTTCCAAAAAAACTCCGAGCCGTAGAATTTATAAAATGACCTATTATCCCCCTGAAACAGCCTCCAAGTCCTGTATTTAAGACATTGCTTTCATGATTTTATTTTTTATTTTCCTTTTTATGACTAGAAAAACCAAATATTATCAAATATCAATATAATTTTCAGGATATTTTAATGCTTTTCTATCAATTATTATTAAAGAACAACTTAAATTCAAGGATTTCATACAAATTTTAACTTTGTATAAATGGCGGAACTAGCGCGCATTGCACATTATAAACCTGTAATTTAGCAAATTAGTCTTGACAGGTTTAAAAAAATGAGGTTTTGTCACAAACTTAAATTTTCTAATCCCTATATCATTTCAACCTGATATTTTTAACATTTCAAAATTAGATTTTTTGATCTAACAGATTTCATAGTTTAAAATATGAAAAGTTTTTATTACATTTGGTTGCAAAAAAAAAAGGATTAAAAAATTAGAGCATGTGCAAAAACTCAATTTATTTGTGTGATTTAGAAAAACAAACTTCACATTCTAAATAAGATTCATTTTTTTATAAACACTGCACAGTGCTCATGGATTATCAAAATATAATGCATCTTGTTCAAATCTTCTAAAAAATTTAGTTTCTGAAGTTAAAAATCTGGATCTTTAAATTCAGGGCTTGATAGTTGTTATGTGGGGCTCGGCAGTCGTTTGAAAATTCTACAATTTAAATATCATTTCGCTTACATACACATATTCCTCTTGTTAAATCTTAGGTTAAAAACTTTTAATGAAGAGTTCGGACTTCAATTGAAACTTTTTTTCGTGTTAAATTTTTTTTGACAAAATATAATGTTTTCTTAGAAAGAAGTGAAAGATGAGGCAATTATTTTCAAAACTAAAGTTAATGATGGTTCTAAATAAAAATAATCTACAATGAAAAAGATGTTAAATATTTTTTAAACAAATGATAAAAAGTTTTGAACAGTTTTTTTTCTAAATATTTTTGTATGTTGTTGTGAGAGGAATCAATGTAAAGCAACAAAAACTTTCAATTAGTTGTTTAAAAAATAAAAATGTTACCAAAGAGAAGTGCCGCCATTGTTGAGTCGCGTCTGTGAGAGTTCCCCTGCATCAGCTGATTGTGGTTAGCGTGGGCCTTAAAAACAGATGATTGGATTGGGGGCCTAAAACAGCCAATCATGGTTAGTTTGGACATATAGTCATAGAGCCTGAAAATATCTGTGATTCCATTTAAAGAGTGGCATACCCGATTCACAAGGACAACGGTACTCTTTAATCTAAAATTTGATCATTCCTCCATTAGGTGATTTTTAGATTTTACACAGCAGGGACAAAGAATGTTTAATAACTAAAGTAAAAAACTTTAATGTTGGAACCTTCAGAGATATTTGACCCTCCCTGTAAAGATGGCAATGTTCGATGTTCAACGGTAACCTTGAAACCTTTATCTGATTAATTATGTGGAGTTAAGATAACTTAAAGGAAGTGTTCGCGAATAATGATAGGGGGTATAGGCTTAATGCAATAAAAAAGCGCTTCTGATTGCTAATAATCTTACATCTATCTGTTGTGTCTATGAGGAGAAAATAGTTAAAAACGTCTCACACCGAAGAACGTAGTGTCCATACAAATTCAGAAAGATGCAACATTTAACTCGGATCGTAAACAAATCAATTTAATTCCAAACAAATCATTCAGATATTACAAACAATAGTCATCGATTATTTTGCGACGCATTCGTAAATAGTTGATATTTCATATTATTTTGTATTTTTCATGATCTGAGAGTTACTTTTGAAAACATTTATTACTGTTTCGAGAATTTTTGATAATGAAGACGACTTTTTCATATTTTCCAGGAATGTTCGAAAATCCAGAGCCAGCGAAAATTATTTTTTTTTTTTTAAATAAAAAATATTATTAAATATTAGCTATATAAGAATGCGTCGAAAAATAATCGATGACTATTGTTTGTAACATCTGAATGATTTGTTTGGAATTAAATTGATTTGTTTACGATCCGAGTTGAATGTTGCATCTTTCTGAATTTGTATGGACACTACGTTCTTCGGTGTGAGTCGTTTTTAACAATTTTCTCCTTATAGACGCAACAGATAGAAGTAAGATTAGTAGCGATCAAAAGCGCTTTTTTATCGCATTAAGCCTATACCCCCTTTCATTATTCGTGAACACTCCCTTTAAAGTACGCTTCCATTTTGGATTTTGAGGTTTCAATTTAGGTTTTTATAATGTTTTTTCTTCAAAAATTGAAAAGAAATTTTCTGAAAAATCATATTGTTCTGTTTTGTCAGCATTTAATTGTAATTTCGCTAAAGAAAGCAAAATATACATCTTCCTTACATATTCAACAAAAATGTAAAGGATTGCAAAAACGTTAAGCCTACGTTTAAGGGGGAAAACTGGTTGTAAATAGTTTAAAGTCCCTGGACTTTTAACCAGGACCTCCAGTTTACCGTGACATGTGGGGAATGTGAGAGGGGGACTGCTTCTCCTCCAGTTTACCGTGACATGTGGGGAATGTGAGAGGGGGATTGCTTCTCCTCCAGTTTACCGTGACATGTGGGGAATGTGAGAGGGGGATTAATTCTCCTCTAGTTTACCGTGACAAGTGGGGAACGTGAGAGGGGGACTGCTTCTTCTCCAGTTTATCGTGACATGTGGGGAATGTGAGAGGGGGGATTGCTTCTCCTCCAGTTTACCTTGACATGTGGGGAATGTGACAGGGGGGATTGCTTCTCCTCCAGTTTACCTTGACATGTGGGGAATGTGACAGGGGGGATTGCTTCTTCTCCAGTTTACCGTGACATGTGGGGAATGTGAGTGGGGGATTGCTTCTATGGTATAGAAAATATTTCAAGTAACTGCGTCAAAAACATTATTTTCCTTGAAAATAAAAAAAACGAGTGAGAGAGAAAGAAAATTTTACACTTTTTGTGATTAACAATTTGACAATTTCACATGATATTGAGGAAGGTTTATTTTTTGATTTGAGTAAAGTCCTGTATGGACTAGGACTAAGCAAAATTCCGCTAAAATACGAAATTCTTTATTAATTCACAGAAAATTCCGTTTTCGGAAAGGAAGATTAATCAACTAAAACAATTATTTTTTTTTTTATACCAGAACACTCTTACGCAAAAATCGATCAACATTTTGCCAATTACTTACAGTGAAACCCTTAATAACGAATACATCGAAAGAATTCATCAAATGTCGTATTCTTCGCTTTCTGATAATGGAATGTTGCAGATATTTAGTTTTTTAATTAAATGATTATATGGAACTTTTTAAAACTGTTCCCGCATATTCATGGCTATTTATTTATTTTCGCAAATACTTAAATTTACGTAGTAAAGTATAAACGTCATTGAAAAATTGTCAAGACGACATTTGATAAATTCTTCCGATGTATTCGTTATTATGGTTTTCACTGTATTTTAAACTGAAGCGAAAAAACTACATAAATTCTAAATTGGGACTACAGTGGACTGAAATTCATATTGCATATTCTATTTTCCCTTAATCCCACCCCTCCCCGGCTATAATACTGTGTACGCGCCTGCTGCTGTTCCATCTAGTATATCTTTTATGTTCATAATTTTTTTTTTGAAAAGTTCTCACTTGTAATTGTTTATATTCAAAAAGTAATTGAATCAAACTCTTTTATGATTAGTGAGGCCAAGACCAGGGTGAAGGAATATACTAGTTTTACCTGGGATATTTTCCTGTAAATGATAACATTAAGTAGGACCAAGAGAAGGAATGGAATTAGTCCCAGAACTAAAATAAATTTAGAAAATGAGTTTTTCAAAATCGAGAAAAGTAAAATTTAAAAAATTCATGAAATGTGAAATTAGAAAAAAATGCAAAGGGCAATAAAGCACAATTTCAAGTGATCCTACATACATGCAAACATGGCACTTCCCAATTCTCAAGGGTATCGTTGTGAATCGGAAATTGGCATCTTTAAATGAAGGGGCACGTGAAATTACGTATTCAGTCAGTCTTTTTAAGTTAGTGCAGTTGTCTGGTAAATCTCGGGAAACATTTATCTCAATCTTATGCAGATTTCTTGATATTCCGTGGTGGTCTGCATACCCTGCAGGGATAACTTTAATTAAGGGATCAAGCATTTATCCTCAAATTCAAAAGTGCTTATATTGGATATCGCGATCAAGCATAAAAGAAACCTCACACAAAATTTTTGATTTAATTTTAATTCTAAATTTATATATTAATGTTTTATCTACCCCCCCCCCTAACCCTGCATTCGTACGTATTAGTGAAAACCAATATGAGACTGGTTAGAACTCTATACATTAATGGTGAAACTTTGAGAAAAGTTAAAAAGTTTCTTGTTTATAGTTTTCTCTACACCTCTAGAAAACTTGTAAATAGTCTGTATACTGTTTACAAAGAACTTACAGGGTTACCCGCGAAGGATGAGACTGTGATGTTGTTAAAAAATCTATTAAAAGGTTGAATTTGGTATTTTCCACTAAAATAGTGTTCAAATGTTCTGCTAAATGATCTGGTACCGAAAGAAAAACGTTACCAGCTACAGGGAACCAAAACTGTGTGTAAAAAGACTGTATAAATTCTAAACAGTCGACTCTGAATTCTCATCCTTTAATGGTAACCCTGTAGCTTTCACAGTTCCATCGAACCAACCAACCTCCCACCCTTCGGGCATTAACATTCATTTGTATCATCTATCTATGCAGTAAGAACCCATGAGACAATATTTAACCAATCTTATGTATTTGATTTTATCAAATAGTGTAGCTGCACTCTGCACTAGTAGCTTAAAAATAAAATTAAGTGAAATTGAAATGGGTCTCTGCACTGCACAAATATACACTGCATGTACATTGACAATCGCTGGGTTTTATGTTCATTGGATTATTTAATATCATAATTTAATTCAACAGTCGTGTTCCTATTCAAAGTGCCCGGCGTTGCCCGCGCAGAAAAAATTTCAATTTTTTTATTCTATAACACCCCACGGCCACCCATAAGTGTCCACAAAAAAGTTCAGCCCAATCGGTCCAGCCGTTTGGCCGGCTATATAGGCAACATATATATATATACGAATGTCTTGTTTTATTATATAAATTGCAAAATGTATACTTGGACAACTTTGAAATCCTTTCACAAATGAAAATATGATCAACATTTTTATATTGAAGGTACAAAAAAGTTAAACCACCTTTTGTTTCAATTAAGTCATAATTAAGTCATTAACTTAGGTTCACGAATGAATATATGCTTAATTGTCAAGAAATTGTCATATGTAGTACGGGGAGCCTTGTATTTGTACTTCAGTCGTCGTCGTACATATCATTACAATGAAGGCGACTTTCTGTATTAATTTTTGTTTCTACCAAGCTTTCAAACAACATGGATATTGGATACACATAAATATGTCAACAAAGAAAATGGCACTTAACAGATTTTATTTGTTTACTTGTAAATTTGAAATTTGCAAAAAGCTTGTTAAATACAAACCTAAACAGAAAACTCGTCTGAACTGTATTGATATAAACGGTGACCACTGGATTTACAAATGTTTCGCTTCAAGATATTTTCAAAAATTGAATGATATTTACCAATAATGTTGAGAATCCTGTTTGTGATTATATACGTAGCATCCTTCAATTCTGTTATCTCATATCCTGTACTGTCATAGGTCACCTAGATTAATAGATAATGCACATTAATAGGTCAGATGTACTATCACAGGTCAGATGTACTGTCATAGGTCAGATGTACTATCACAGGTCAGATGTACTGTCATAGGTCAGACTCAGAGGTACTATCATATGCCCTATCATAGTTTAGATGCAATGTCATAGTCCAAATGTACTACCATAGGTCAGAAGTACTATCATAGGGCAAATGTACCCTAAAAGTCCAAATGATCTATCATATTTCAGATGTACTCTCATACTCCAAATGTACTATCATATTTCAGATGTACCATCATAGGACAGTTGTACGCTCATAGTTCAATTGTACTAACATATGTCAGATGTAATCTCATAGTCCAAATGAACCATAATAGGACCTGGACAGATGTACGCTCATAGTTCAATTGTACTAACATTTGTCAGATGTAATCTCATAGTCCAAATGTACTATCATAGGACAGTTGTACGCTCATAGTTCAATTGTACTAACATACAGAGCGTCCCATATCATATTAGATTATCTCTAATCTTTAACGGCAAAATAAACCCTTAATACTCGAAGAACTTATCATTTTCCGCAAGAAAATTCTTATATAAGCCTTATGTTATTTTTCAAAATGATTTATTCGAATTAAATTTTCTTATTAGTCCCGAAAATCGGTCTAATATGATGTGGGACACCCTGTATGTCAGATGTAATCTCATAGTCCAAATGTACTATCAAATGTTACCTAAATTGATGTATTATGATGTCAAAGAATAATATAAATTGTAATACAATTATGATGCCGTTCTGACCAATAATCATTTCCAATAATTATTTCTAATAAAATGATCAACAAGATTACCTTTTTTAGATGAATGAATAGAATAACCCCCCCCCCCCCCTAAAGTTTAGTAGAAGTAAATATTTCCATTTAGTGAATAGCGCCGACGATATAAGGATTTATCTCTAAATGGATAATGAGATATAGATAGAAAGATAGATGTTACCGCCATGCAATTTCTATTGGTTCAGAATAGACAACAAACACATGACTGAACCCTGATTGGATCAGGCGCTAATGGACTTGGCATACTTGTACAGGGGGCGGAAACGTCATAGGGGTGTATCTGTACCAAAAGAGTGTGTGTAAAGTTTACTGAACGGAAGGCGTGTACTGTAGGTATATATGTACACAGTATAAACGAATCTCAGTATTTGTGCAGTCTAGGAGAGTACATTTGTTTATTGATAATTATTTACTTTAAAATAAGTTTGATATGCAATACATAGTATATTATTAATATAGTTAAGTCAACACTATAAGCCATTTCATGCAAAGAATATAATTTGATTAAAGTTTACAATAAACAAGTCGTTATTCAAGCTTAATTATAATTGACAAAATTGTTCTGTATTTTCCTTGACTGTAGTCATGTTGTGTGTCTGTACCAAAAGAGTGTGTGTAAGGTTTACCGAACTTGTCTGCAAAGCAGTGCACTGGCTTTCTCATGCCAGACCAGCGCCATTTCTTTTCCCTTTATTCCTATTCCCTGGGCTTGTAGAATATGAAACCTTGATTTCTGTTCCTTGATGTTCTTCAAAGCTCTAATAGATCAAACATCAATGTATTTTGTACAGTGAGAACCAGAAAACAATGGAATAGCTTGTCTTTGAATCTGCAGAATTCAGCATAAAATTAAATAAATGAAGAATGACATGAAATAGTTTGTATTTTATTTAAAGGTTGGGAGGTTTTTATGTAAAAATGTCTCCGAATAATAAATCCGAATTGCATCGAACTATTATAAAGAACTATATTGAATGTTGCCGCATTAAAAAAAAACCTAGTAAACGTAATTGATAAATATTTTAGTTCACATTATATATTTAAATATTGAGAAATATATGTTAGATTACGCACAGTATATACACATTACACAACCCCTTTAGAACATTTAACTTAAGTTGGAAATCCCGTACTGCACATATCATCAATCCAATTAGTTTTGAATAAACAAAGTTTATTTGTTTGAAAGGAAAACCTGAATATATAAATTTGTTTGCTGGTTTCTACTGAGAGGGTGCATTATAAACTTTACTAGTGCATATACTGCATCATGCATTTATGCATAATGCAGAAAAGATAAAAGATAAATATGCAGGAAAGAAAAAGCAATTAATAAAGAAAAAAATATATATTTTATTGCTTTATTAAGCCAATCAGTAAACATGCTCTAAAGTCACAGGGAGAGAGCCAATCATAGACAAAGATTTCCAGTATACACTCAGCCAACTCATCTCACAAAACCTCGATTCCAAGAGGAAATGGGGTTCATACAGTACACATACTGGTAGGTCTGCAGGGGTTTGTTTTAACTTCGATTCTGCCATATTTAGATCCATAGAGAATAGAATATATAGAGAGGAATTTACTAGAAAAAAGTGTAAAACGGCCATTTTGTTGTACTGTTTCCATACTGCAGGTGTACTTCACATATTTGTGCTATATAACCTTTTGGGCCCTGGATCATCATTTTATACAAAAATTTTCTTGAAAATTATTTGAAAGCCAATATTTTAGAAATATTCAAGATATCAACATATGGTTCAACTTTTTTTCCACTAAAATTGAGGATGGAGATAAACTTAATATTTTAAATTCATTTTACAAATTTTCAAATGGGAAAATTATTTTGGAATCAGAATCTTCAATTCAAAAATTTTCTTTAACTAAATGTTTTGAAAATAAAATCTAAAATTGATATTAAAAAAAACAAATTATGAAATAGGCTGATTTCATAATTGATTAATTGACTAATGATCATTTCACATAGACTTTCACTTTACTAACGATGATTTTCCGTTATAACTATAAATCAAATGATGTTTTTTATTTAACTAATTCAAATTATAAAGTTTATTTAACAGTTTAAAAATTTCGAAATTGAAATGGATAGTCTAGGGAACATACTGTATTAATGTACTCTACTGCGTATAATTTGTGAACATTTACATGATTTGTACACTTTGAACTCCCTTTCAGGCTGAAAGGGACTGAAAAAATTCATACCGAGAGATTCTTTTAATTCCTCTCTATATATTCTATTCTCTTTGTTTAGATCAAGGAGAATTGAATACAAGGAGGGGGCAATAGGGTTTCCGTACACTTTGCTGTGACGTTTTTGGACTGCTGGAGAACTATTTTTTGCGTAACAACAATAATAAAGGCAGCCGATCTAATGTAAACAAACATGAGTTAGTATACAGTGAATCTACATCTAACGTCAGAGATGCACCAAATGTCTGTTTATCATTTGTGTTCTTGTTTACCATCTTTATTATTGTTGTTACGCAAAAACTAGTTCTCCAGCAGTCCAAAAACGTCACAGCAAAGTGTACGGAAACCCTATTGCCCCCTCCTTCTATTCAATTCTCCTTGATTTAGATCATATATTTAGTAGGCATTTTGCCGGCGTACACATCAATACAAAATGATCTGAGAGATAGATAGATATTTTCCCCCTAAAATGTAAACAAAAAAATAAGAAAGTAAACACAGTGGCGTACGCCCCTGAGTAAGCAAAGGAAGCATTGGAAAAATAACTTGTTTTTAATGATGCGAAGACAAAAACTGTACAATTCTCTAAAATTGTACAGTTTTGCCCGGCTTGCCTGCTGTAGTGCTCAGTACACTGAACCTCTATGAATATCTACTCTGTGGAGCTATGGAGCCAATCTAAGAATTTAGGCAGTCCGACAGATATTATGCTATACAAGTTGCCCCATCTTTGACTTCTTAATTGTGCATATGATATAGGAATATATTATTATTATAAAGATTTATTCACACACAAAGATATAAATACATATATAAATGGTGTAGTTTAAATTTGTTTAAATAAATTTTTTTTTTTTTTGAAAATACAGGTTTCCAAAAGAAAAGAGAAAAAAAACAATAATTTGCAAAATTATGCACAAATAGAAAACATTGATTTTTACTCACTACATAACATATTTATCATTTCAGTTATTACATAATCATCGAATCCTTCAACATATAAATTATTCATTCTTGTATTTAAAAGTTCTTGTAAAACCGGAACTTTCCATTCATGTTCCAATGGGACATCAAAATATTTCATTTGTTTCTTAACTAACATTTTACTAAGATCCGAAGGATTTACAGAACAATCATTTGCCATACAAAATAAATTTCTGCCAAGAACTGTGTTGAGGTCATTTTTACATAAATTAGAAAGAAATCTAATGCAAAGCTTAGAACTTGCTTCAATAGTCTCATAGAAAGACACACATCTGCTAGCTAACATAGTTTTTACATGTAAACATTGTGAAATACTTTCAATCAAGTACCTATGTGTATCTCTAGGTACATTAAAAAGAATTCTAATAGCAGTATTCCATGCTGTATACAATTTTGAAACACATTGGGAACTCAAGTCCCAAATACTAGATCCATAAAAACTACAACAGTAAATATTATACAGTTTCAAAATAACATCAGGACTGTTAAAATAAAATTCTTGGTTAAGGGAATGAATTTTTGAAATGAAAATAGCTCGTTTTTTATTTATTAGAGGGTAGATTTAGCCATAAACAGATTAGATCGTCCAATGCATCCATTTTGAAACCAGGTCCGTAGCTAGGAATTTTAGGATTTTTTTGGGGGGGGCCACAAAGTTTGAACATTTAAAAATTTTTTTTTAATGATTTAAAGTACCTAAATACTTAAATTCCGATTTGTTATGCCTGCCACTGTAAACATTAAAGACAAAGGGATATATTAAAGAATGACATAAAGTGTCAAAATAGCAACAAATTCGGGCTTTCTTTTATTTCTATTTTCATAATGAAAATAGATGATGTAAGGCTATTCTTGTGGGATATAAATTGTTGGTATATTAAATTATTTAATGCATGCTGGCTCAAAAACAGGGTTACACACAAAATAAGACTTCAAAGTTTTGAGGTATTTTCATTAAAGAAACCCCATTTTGTTTTAATGCTTGGAATCTTTTTCTCTGTTTCAATTTCAATAACAAATATTGTTTCGTATAAAGATTGATTGTATACATTCCCATTTCTATTTATACTCTTAATGTTGTTGAATATTTAATTTTACTGCATACTATTATTGTGAAGACACAACTAGATAATCTGTATAGAAAATATTCTCTCTCTGTAGGCATTGACAATTTCCGCTGATTTTTAGATAGCGACTCGCGGATTTCGAGAAAAACTAATTTTATATAATAAACATCTCACTATTCATACATTTCTGTGTAAAGCAAGTTCAAAAGAATAAAATATGATAAAGTTCTATGCACAAAGATAACTCGACTTTGTTCTTTACAATCATAATTTTTTCCTAGAAATTTACACATTTCTTTACAATAGATTTCACTAAATAATCGATATTAATAATAATGACGATTTTCTATTTCAGCTTTTATTTTATATATCAAGCAGTTATTCAAATTGGAAAATATCTAATCTTTGCTTTTGAAATATTATTGTTTAAGGCCCTTAAATGTAAGTTCAAAAGAATAAAATATGATAAAGTTTCTGGAACAACGATAACGACTTTGTTCCAAGCATTATTTTTTCCCTGCAAATATTATTTTCTGTTAAGTCAACACTGGCAGCTTTAACCTTCATAACAAACATTTTTTTGTTTTGCCACACTTACAAATCTTTTAATCCCGATATCTTTGCAACAACAAGTTTACACAACTTTTGACATTTAAGCTTAGAGTATTTGAACTTGCAGAATTCATAGTTTGAAATACCTAAGATCTACTGTTTAGGCCTACTACATTGGTTTGCAAAGATAGAGGAATTAGCCCAATTATCCTTTATTCTTGAAATGAGTTACCATTGCTGTAAAATATAAAATTGTATGAAAAGAATTTCAAACTTTGATGTAAACCATGACCTTGATAAAATTATCCTCTAGCCCTCATACGATCTTAAAAAAACCTAATTTAATTTCAACTTTGTATTAGATCTATATATCCCGGAGAAAACTTTTACACAAATACCTTTTCAAAACTATGTTTTATTTAAATAATATGAGGGTTTTTTACTGATAAAAATCGTGTAACATTTTTTTTAAATGCAAGGCATGTGACCATAGATTAATAACAATACAGATAGAACACTAAATGTCGCCTTTTCAAGATTTAGGGGTTTTTCGCTCACAAAAACGCTGAGGCAGAAGCCCAAAGGAGTTACGCGCATGCTCTCTCCCTTGGGCTTATGCCTCAGGGTTATTGTGAACTAAAAAATCCCAGATCTAGTGTTATATTGTTATTAATCTTTGCATGGAACTAACGCTGAAAAGTTGTATTACTTATTCTTCCATATTCTTACTTTTAAACTAAAATATTTAACCACTTTAATACATTTTTTAAATCAAATTTTTTTTTTAAATCAGTGTCTTTTTTTATATTTTATCTTTTATGGTTTCTGTGGAAAAAACATATTACGCAAGGTAAATAAAATTACAAAGGTGCGAAGTGACCTGTAGCCTGTTGGGTAAAAAATGAACATGATTTTGAGGTGTTAGAAAATATATCTGTCTTTGAGGAAAGAGTTTTTGCATTTTATTTATCTATAGCTTTAGACTTTTATAAGCTTTAGACTTAATGGAAACTTAACTGAAGGTTTAAAAGCTTTCACAGCTTCTTTAATTGAAAATACAAGTGCACTTCTTTAACAATATTGAAATTTCGGAAATTTCGAAAGAAAATTGTCTTTTCAAAAAACAATGCATTTTCCAATTCTTCTCTTAGATCCTAAACTGAATGCTAAGTTTGGTGCGAAGTGACCTGTAGCCTGTTGGGTAAAAAATGAACATGATTTTGAGGTGTTAGAAAATATATCTGTCTTTGAGGAAAGAGTTTTTGAAAGTCAAAGTTTCGTCAAAGAAATTTAGATTTATTGGTAATGTATATAGACCTCCAAACTCTGATATCATTAAGTTTACTGAAATTATGGAATCTCTTCTGAAAAATATTTCATCCGACAAATCACTGAGTAAAGCTGAAGAAATCCAATTCATGGGTGACCTAAATATTAATCTGCTGAATCACACTTCTCACAATGCTACATCTACACATTCACTTATTCCGCTAATTACACTCCCTACACGTATTACTCAAACATCTGCAACATTACTAGATCACATATTTAGTAATTCAGATCCTGAGTCGAAAGAATGTGGAATCATCTACTCAAGTTTATCTGACCATTTACCCGATTTTTCATTGTCTAAATGTACACAACATGAAGATAATATTGGTAGCAAACCAGTTCTAATTAGAAACATTTCAATCGAAAATAAAACCAAGTTTAAGGAAAAACTGTTACTCAATGACTGGACTCATAATATGATAAATGAAGGTCCTTCTACAGCCTTTTCTGAATTTTCTAACGCATTAAATAATATTTATGAAGAAAGCTTTCCATTTATCAAATATAAACCAAACAAAAATTAAAATTCTTTTAACCCTTGGTTTACTTCCGCCTTGCTAGTGTTAAGAAAACAAAAAGAAAAATTATTTAAGAAAAAAATCCTGAATCCAACTACAAACAATTTAGAAACTTTTAGAAAATATAATTCTGTTTATCGCACAACAATAAAAAAGGCCAAGACTAGTTATTTTTCTTCAAAATTTACAGAATACTCAAAAGACATCAAAAAGACCTGGTCTTTACTAAACTCTATTATATCTTCTAAGAAAAAAAGTCATTCAGTTCCTGAGATTTTCACTGATGATAAAAAAGTTTTGTGGGATCTGCTGAAATAGCAGAGGGTTTTAATGACTTTTTTGTGAACGTTGGACCCAGATTGTCTAGTTATAATCTGGATTCTAAAGTCAATTTTTAAACATATCTGAAGGAGCCATCCAAGGAAAATTTTGTGTTTGCAAATATTACACCAGAAATTATTCTTGAAACAGTGAGTAAACTTAAACTTAAATAATAGTTCATTTAAGGCACACTCAGATCCAATATTTTTCAGATTAGAACTCCTAAATTTTGATGATACATATATACTAGGTGTTCCATCTTTTATGCATAAATACTTTTATGAAAACCTTCCAAAATCCTTCCATGATATGTTTAATTCTTTAGCTGAACCAAATAGAACAAAATCATATAAACTTGAGCGGGTTCTCTTTAAAACTCTAGAATGTTTTCCCTCTGCTTTATTTCCAAAAATATGGAATTCGATTGAATTAGAGCTGAAAGAAACTAAATCTGCAAAATCGTTTAAAAGAAAAGTCGCAAAGATATATCTAGATAGTTATGCAAATTATATCTGTACAAAAAAAACTGTGTATCATGTGGATAAACTTAGTCTTTACTATCTTCATTACCCTGTATTTCATAAACATGATTTTAATAACTTATGTTACCCTCTGTTCCAACCCTTACGCTGAGTATCCTCCCTTTCACTTATACTCCCTCACCTCCTCCTTACCATTTTCCTGATTTATCATCATTCTTATCTTTAAAATGTACAATGTACATTGTTTTTATCTGCAATTCTCATTCGTTTATAGTGGGCCAACCAATTAAAACAACCTACTCTGGTTAGGCGGGTCCAAACTACCTAGTAAATTGTGATTTTTTTATTTGTATTATCTCGTGCTCTGTAGTTGAATAAAATATGAATATGAAACCCAAATATACTTACATTAAGCCTAAGTGCAGCAAAGTACAGTGGGTCTGTTCTTATCTCCAGAAACTTGGTTATATTGTACAGGATAGAGATTATAACAATCGGTATTATGTAGAGTTTACCTTCCCACATCTAAAATAAAAGATGAAATCAAAATATTAACTTTTCCAGTTTTGACAAATTGCGCAGAAACAAGAAACTTTTAATGACTTCTACTAAACGCTTTTTCTTCACAACCTCAAGCGGCCAATCAGGAAAGCCCGATACAAATGGGAGTTTTAGAAAGATTAAAATACTAATAGATGTTTTTTATCTTTATACATAATTTAAATCCCAAGTTTTAACCAGACCAAGATTGTAAAACAAAGGTTTCTAAAAAGTGGTCTGTGTGCCTTTAATTATTTCTTTTATATTTATAAAAAACTGAGTGTAAGAGCTCACCAAAAATTAATCCAATCCAATGGCTAAGGAATGAGTCTTTGCCACATACCCAAATCCCTATAAAGTGGCAACTTCCCAAATGAGCAATTTCCTAAGCGACAACTTTCCTAGTCTGTACTAGCCACGGCGCTCGGCCCCCAGCCAGTTCTAGCCGCGGCGACCGGCCCCCTAGCCCATCCTAGCCGCAGCGCTCGGCCCCCTAGCCCATCCTAGCCGCAGAGCTCGGCCCCCCATTGCAGCCTGCGGCGCCTCAGAGGACCTTTCCTAACCTTTGGGAAGTTGCTACTTGGGAAAAATCCATTGGGAAAGTACCTAACACCACAAATTGTTGTCCTGTAATAGTTGAGTATATAAACTGTTCATATTGCTTCCCAATCTAGATCAATCCAATATCTTTAGTTAACACTCCGAAATCCTCATCAAGGAAGCATTGTGTAATGTAAATTGGTATTCTATCATGTATATAGTGGACTAAAGAACCAGAGAATATACCATTATTCATCCAAACTAAATCACATATATATTTAAGGATCTTTTTTAACCGAAGTCAATCGCGCTGTAAAGTAATCATCGTGCTCAGTAAATTAGCTGTATATTATAAAGTTTCATTAATTCATGGAGATTAAAAAAATAGATTTAAATAAAATAAAATTTAATATGATTTTTATTTTTTATTTCTGATTTGTTTAAAAGCTTATTATATGTAAAAATAACCAACGTATCAAAACAAGTTCGCATAAAATTGCCTGTAGCAAAATTGTTTTGACACGGTGAAATTTTGCTTTTGGACTTAATAATACTAATTTATATAAAGTTAAAGGAGTCTTACCTTTATCATAGTAAATGGTGCGCACACGGTGATACACCGTTCCATAGAGACTGCAACGGTAGTAAATATTCCACCAGTATGGGAGATCATCATCAATCCGTAGACATAGGGACAGATCAGGGGGTAGACATAGCCCTAAACATAGTAGATATAGGGACAGATTAGGGGGTAGACATAGCCCTGAACATAGTAGATATAGGGACAGATTAGGGGGTCGACATAGACCTAAACATAGTAGATATAGGGACAGATCAAAGAGTCGACATAGCCCTAAACATAGAAGATATAGGGACAGATCAGGGGGTAGACATAGCCCTAAACATAGTAGATATAGGGACAAATCAAGGGGTCGACATAGCCCTAAACATAGTAGATATAGGGACAGATTAGGGGGTAGACATAGACCTAAACATAGTAGTTTTAGGGAAAGTATAAGGTTAGGATTGACAAAAAGTAAGATATTTTATATTTTTTCTTTTTTCATCATGAAAATTAATGATGTATGTTTGGTTTAAGCAATACAATCATTTTTGTTGTTTCTGATTTTTATTTCTCAAAACAGTTTTTTTTAGTTTAATCCAACACATTTCAAACCAAATTAAAAATAATTTTAAAAAATGCCAGTTTTCTGATCGATTTGAACCTCTTCAAAAATGTCGGACCCAGAAATAGTCTGGTATACGAGCATAAAGTTGTGATTTCATTTAAAAATGGAGCAGGTTCAATTTATAGCGGTACCCTTTTATCTTATCAGTGATGTGGGAGATATCTTCGTTTTTCTAGTGTTTTTCTAACAATTTCCTCCAATTTCTTTAGGAAAAATGTGCAAGTCACTTTATTAAGAAACCACAAGAAAAAAAATTACTTTAAAAGAGAAGATGATTTATATCGCGTGCATTGATCCTACAAAGCTTTTAAGGGTACCACTGTTAATCGTACACACCAATCAACTAATGAAACCTGTGAAAGTGTATATATATATATTGTAAAAGATTATTAACAAGTATTATAAATAACTTGAAAACAATATCTCAACTTTCATGGAAAAAATACAACTTTTTTATTATTTTTCACTAGTTAGCTCAAGTAATAACACTCTCTAAATAGATTATTTTCAGTCTAATGTTCATTCAAATACACTACCACAATATTTTTTAACAAGGCTGTGAATTATGTTTTTCCTTTTTGTGTTTTGGAGGGCGGTGATCTTGCTAACTCATATTTTCCATATATCTCCTAAGCGTTCTGATTGGTTGAAAGTCGAAGAAAGGTTGAAAAAAATATGAGCTATGAAAAGGTTTAGACTGCATGTCTAAGTAGTTTCAAACAGGATCGGCTCAGAAAGTTTTCTATATACATCCTACGTGAAGAAACTTTAAATTTGTGTTAAAAATCCGGCACTAGGCTTTAACCCTTAACTAAGCTTTCGTACTGTGTTTCTTTGGGGAAATTAGTTTGTTCAGTAAAATAAGATCATTGTTCGTTTTTTTTCTGATCGACATCATCGTTTGTGAAAAATTTTGTAAAATTCTCAAAAATATTGTTCATTCACAACAACAATGCCCGTCTCTAATTCAGTGGCATGGTGGAAGCATCTGTGGCACAACAGCCAATTCTTTGCCAAGGCGGCCGAATATGTTGCACAGTGGTCGAGTCTGTGGCATGGCTTCCAAATTTGCGACGCTGCAGCCAATTTTGTGGCATGGCGGCTAAAACCTGTGGTACGACGGCCAAATCTCTGGTACGGCAGCCGAATCCTTGGTAAAGCAGCCAAATCTGTGGTACGGCGGCCAAATTATTGCCACATCAGCCAAAATAGTGGCACACAGTAGCAAAATTAGTGGCACAGTAGCCAAAAATCTGTGGCATGGCGGCCAAATCTAAGAACAAAATCATCGTAAAGGAATTGAGTCTTTGCAACAAATCCCAATTTTCAACTACCTATATATCTACAACCAAACTACGTAAACCTTAGATATTTCAAACTTTGATTGTTTGATATTACAGAAGTCATAGTTTGAAATATCTAAGGTCTACAACATTGGGTTGTTAAGATATAGGGATTTAAAAACCAGAGTTTGTGGCAAAGACTCAATTCCTTTGTGTACAAAAGATCAACCTATCATCAATCTATATATACTGTCTTACTTGTCCTATGGAAGCAAAAGAAGAACTACATTTTAATAACAAAGATGTACAAATTTGGTACGCTATAATGTGTACTGCACAAGTAATTTCGGACCACGTGTCGTATATGGTTTCCTTTCAGGGCTTGCTCAATTTTTCATAATCTTTATAAACAGGATCGGCTCAGAAATTAAAAAGAAACATTCTATGTGAAGAATCTTTAAATTAGTGTTAAAAATACGGCCCTAAGCTTTCGGTGCGTACTCCTCCAGTATATAGACCACAGAGATTGGATTGAGGTCCGGAGAAATAGGAGGCCGTTCCTCCTTCCCCAAAAAGTTAACCTGGGGGTCCTGGAGCCACATTTGACTGGAGGCTTGTAGCTGCTGTATGATAGCAAGCTCTATCCTGCATAAATGTCATTTCAGACTTATCTTTGGACACTTTCTTCAAGTGATACTTGGGAAACCCTGGAGAACCTGGTCTCATCAATGCCAAACCAAGTCAAATATGTTTATAATAGCCATTATGTATTAGAATAAATTTATATTAAACAATTTTTTGATCAAGAACATTATTTTGAGTGATGCATTACTTTCTTTTCACCCTGTAGTAGGAATTCAGCGGTATAAACTTTAAAGCCAATGGACAAACTTTATAGGGCTGGATAACAAGGTTCAAAGTCTTACATCTGGGAATTCAGTATTTCACCTCTGAAATAAATTGTTTAGCTAAGGATGAGTCATCTATGTGAAGATATCAGATGTTTGGTTCATATTTCGGAAATCAAAATTCCTGAAAGGGAGTGTTCGCGAAAAATGAAAAGGGGAGCAGACTTAATCCTAAAAACGTAGTATTTGATCGCTACTTATCAAATACTTCTATCTGTTTAGTCATAAGGAGAAAATAATAGAAAGCTCTTTATGCCCGAGACACATCAAACTAATAGTTGCATGATCCGAGCCGTTACAACTGTATATATGCAATCAGTCTTACTTTCCAGTCTGGACTACCCAAAGTAAAGTCGACCCGGCACGTTTTATGCAACAATTTTTTTCAAATTTTTTTTTTAAAATTTTAAATTTTTTTTCGAATTTTAAATTTTTTTTTCAAATTTTAAATTTTTTTTTCAAATTTTTTTTTTAAAATTTTAAATTTTTTTTCGAATTTTAAATTTTTTTTTCAAATTTTAAATTTTTTAAAATTTTTTATTTTTTGTTTCAAATTTTTTTTACATGGGCCCTCTTGCTAGTATCTAATATATCCAGAGGAACTCTGCTCTAAAAAAGAGGTTGTGTAAATCAACTAGTGGAACTCTGCAGCTCTAATAAAGGGGTAGTATATCAGGTGGAACTCTGCACTAATAAAGGGATCGTGTATATCAGGTGTAACTCTGGTCTAATAAAGTACGTGAGTGTATCAAGTGAAACTCTGCTCTAATAAAGGGGTAGTATATCAGGTGGAACTCTGCCCCTAATAAAGTGGTAGTATATCAGGTGGAACTCTGCTCTAATAAAGGGGTATTATATCAGGTGGAACTCTGCCCCTAATAAAGGGGTAGTATATCAGGTGGAACTCTGCTCTAATAAAGGGGTAGTATATCAGGTGGAACTCTGCTCCAATAAAGGGGTAGTATATCAGGTGGAACTCTGCTCTAATAAAGGGATAGTATATCAGGTGGAACTCTGCTCTAATAAAGGGATAGTATATCAGGTGGAACTCTGCTCCAATAAAGGGGTAGTATATCAGGTGGAACTCTTCCCCTAATAAAGGGATTTTGTAAATCACAGGTGGAACTCTGCTCTAATAAAGGGATTTTGTATATCAGGTGGAACTCTGCTCTAATAAAGGGGTAGTATATCAGGTGGAACTCTGCTCTAATAAAGGGATAGTATATCAGGTAGAACTCTGCTCTAATAAAGGGGTAGTATATCAGGTGGAACTCTGCCCCTAATAAAGGGATTTTGTATATCACAGGTGGAACTCTGCTCTAATAAAGGGATTTTGTATATCAGGTGTAACTCTGCTCTAATAAAGTGAGTGTATCAAGGGAAACTCTGCTCTAATAAAGGGGTAGTATATCAGGTGGAACTCTGCTCTAATAAAGGGGTAGTGTATCAGGTGGAACTCTGCTCTAATAAAGGGGTAGTATATCAGGTGGAACTCTGCTCTAATAAAGTGAGTGTATCAGGTGAAACTCAGCTCTAATCTGAGATTATTAGACCCAGGGGAATACAAAAGACTATAGCACAGTTTAAGTTTTATCTATATTTTATAAAACAACAAAAAACACTGGTTCATTTTTTCTGAAACCTCTATCCTCGACATCCTTCGGGATTTAAAACTCAAAATTATCTGGGAAAGCTATCTTGTCCTCATCCTCCACAACCTCTATCCTCTCATCCTCTAATCCAAACGAGCTAGAACTACCTACGGAGCAGGATGATCAAAGATCCGGAAATAACACAACCGCATGGAGTCATATAGATTATAGAAGAGCTGAAACCCAACATCTCGGATCATTCTAACAAAGAAAAACCTCATCTTCTGAGGGTTCAGACGAGCCCACTCCAAGATACACCATCTCTGAGATCTTCCAATCTCCAAACACTTCTTCCCAAACTCAGAGCTCCTGGTTGAACTAGGGTCAAAATCTAGCTTCTCAGCCTTCATCCCAGGGGGTCTCATCATACTGGTTCTAACAGGATTGAGCTCCAATCTGACCTAAAGTCATACCGAACCGAGCATATTCTAGATCTGAATCTGTAGGCATCTTAATAACTCTATACCCAGACCACTGAACCTTGGCTCTGGATAAAATTCTCATCTGTGTAAGGAACCACTCTCTAAGCGTGGAGAAGGAACCTGCATCCTCCATTTGTCACGGTGGGCCAGGAACTCAGCAGCTAAGTACACAGCTTCACATAGACAGGAGGATCAGTACATAGTCCCTAGAATCTCTAAACCTCAATGAACTGATCATCTTGACTTAAGTAAGAGCATCTTCTTGATGAAATTCCACTCCTTCCAGGTATAACACCACCCACTCTTAGGTTCCAAACTTGAAATACTATATTTTAGATTTTACAACGTAGAAATTATCTGGTGAGCTGGAATCCTCTCATCTCTCCGCCGCGTCGAGTTCTGTTAAAACCAAGGGATCGTCTTCTGCCACATATTTTGGTGTTTTGGTTCTTATTTTCAACGTTCCAAAAAGACTTCATATGATTTTTTTTATGCGGAATAACTTATACAGCTTTGCAACCTCGTAACTCCTCTTTACCACACAAGAGTGAAATAGCAACAAAAGCAAAAAGAAATTTAATCTTGTTATCAATAGCTCTTCATAAATATGAGTTAAGTTTGAAAAATGTGAGCTTAGGGTGCACAATATGGATTCTTGACTAAATTGCTGGGAGAATTTAAAAAAAGAAAAAGATGAAAAGAATTATTTTCTTTTGAACCAGAACGAATTTTTTTCATTAGATTTCGATTTGTAATATGAGAACTAAATGGAGGTACTTTTAAACTAAAAATATATGTGTATTTGAAGTTTTATTTTACAATTTCATGATGGTTATTTTTAATGCGCTTGCTGGTAGCGTAAACTTTAGATATTTGAATTTTAAATTAATTAATCTAATAGAATTTATAGTTTTAAATATCTAAGGTCTACAACATTGGGTTGCGTAGATTTAGGAATAAGAAAATCAGAGTGACAAAGTCTAAATTCCTTAACGAAATATAATTTTACAAATCTATCTATTTACGGATATTTAAGAAAATTTGTTTATCACTGCAGTCAATATAAAGTGAATATTTAAAAAATGTTTTTGTTCCATATTTTAAAGGGAGTGATCAGCAATGTATGGTAGTTTAACTGAGAATGTAGTATTGTGGAGATATTCATTTGAGAGCTATGAGACGTTTTTACGGTGCATATTTGTACAGCAAGAGCGTAAATTCAATCTTCATAGATTGTTAATTTTTCAGGGATAATTTGAAAGTTGGGTTTTAACAAATTATTTAATAATTGTCGGTCACTCCCTTTAAACCTTCAACAATAAAGGCGCAAAGACGCATTCTTCCTTCTAGACATTTTAAAAGCGGAAATTTGCAGGAAAAAGTCCGGTAGACGTGTTGAAAAGGGATTATTTTTTTTAAGTAAGACACGAATATTTAAGATAAAATTTTATACCAATATTTGCAAATCCAATAAGAAGAACTTTTTAAAAATATTCAAAGCTTCCCATCAGAAATATTTTGACAAATATTGTAAAGATTCCTTTAAGACTAAGTTACAAAAGATGCAAATAATCGCTTTAGAGATATGTTGATAATTATTGCAATTATATTCTCTTTAGGAATATGTAAAGGAATTGAGTCTTTGCAACAAACTAAATATTTTGCAATCTCTATATCTTTGAAACCTGATGGCGTACATCTTAGATATTTCAAACTTAGATTATTTTATCTAGCAGAATGCATAGTTTGAAATATTTAAGGTTTACGACATTGGGTTGCAAAGATAAAGGGATTAGAAAATCAGAGTTGGAGGCAAAAGCTCAATTTCTTTTAAGTAAAAGGTATTGAGATTAGAATGATTAGTGCATATCATCATGAAAATTAAAAAGTTTCGCTTTAGGAATATGATAACAAAGGATGAAAAGATGACGGTAAGAATATGTTGATAAATATTGCAAAGGTTTACTTTTAGGAATATGCTAACAAATATGCGAACAAAGGATGACATGTTCAATTTAGGAATACGTTGACAAATATTACGAAGGTTCACTTCAGGAATATGCTAACAAAGGATGAAAAGAATATGTTGACAAATATTGCAAATGTCCCCTTTAAGAATATAGTGACAAATATTACAAAGATTCAATTTAGGAATATAAATGTATGAATATTGCCAAGGATCCTTTCTGAGAATAGCTATAAAATAAGAATTTAAGTTTTAGAAGAAAGACAAACTTGAAAAGATTGTTTTAAAGAAAGTTATTTCTCTGTAAAAGTTGTAATTACCTTGTACAGCAGGGACATATGGGGCAAACAGAACATTAGGATACTTGTAGATGTAAACAGGAGATCATAGACAGCCTAGACAATAGAATATTAGGATACTTGTAGATGTAAACAGGAGATCATAGACAGCCTCGACAATAGAATATTAGGATACTTGTAGATGTAAACAGCAGGTCATAGCCAGCCTAGACAATAGAATATTAGAATACTTGTAGATGTAAACAGGAGATCATAGACAGCCTAGACAATAGAATATTAGATACTTGTAGATGTAAATATGAGATCATAGACAGCCTAGACAATAGAATATTAGGATACTAGTAGATGTAAACTGGAGGTCATAGACAGCCTGGACAATAGAATATTAGGATACTAGTAGATGTAAACTGGAGGTCATAGTCAGCCTAGACAATAGAATATTAGGATACTAGTAGATGTAAACAGGAGGTCATAGACATCCTAGACAATAGAATATTAGGATACTAGTAGATGTAAACAGGAGATCATAGTCAGCCTAGACAATAGAATATTAGGATACTAGTAGATGTAAACAGGAGGTCATAGACAGCCTGGACAATAAAATATTAGGATACTTGTAGATGTAAACAGGAGATCATAGACAGCCGAGACAATAGAATATTAGGATACTTTTATTATTATTATTATCATTATAATTATTACCTAAAACCCCAAAACTGCAGATAGGGAATAGAATCGACTGCTCGACAAAACTGCCGCTGATGATATCCTTCATCCAGATCGTTCTGTTCCTCTCCAACTCCAGCTCTAACTCCTGTTCCCGGCACCAGATAGGGCTCAAGGTATCATCTGTCCAGCTCCCGTTTTCATCATTTATCCAGCTCCCGTTCAGATGGAGCCAACTACCGTTCGGCTCCATCCAATATTCATATAGCTCCATTTTCCTAGGAATAGAAGTGGGTTTAAAGGAACTATAGACTCAATTTCAAGTAAACATCCAGTTTTAAAATACATGTCAAATAAGCGGCCATAAAAGCTTTGTGTGATCAGGAATGAAAACATATTCATATTTTAAACTTTTAAAGCTCATAAAGTAGAAAAACAAATAAATCTTCCACATTATTCAATTGATTCAAAGAATAAATGGCTACTGTTGTAAGTCTAGCTTGCTCGAGATGAATGAAGGGTCATTTGTAATTACAACTATACATCCACTTTAATAACTCTTTAATGATTTAGCACGATATCATAAAGGGTCATAATTAAAACCATAAATCTTCACGTAGCTTTATTAATTAAAAATGGTGATATTCAAATATATAGAAATATCGAAAAGGGGCGAGCTAGACATTTTGTTGCTAGAAGAATTTATTTATCAAAGTAGAGCGGAATAGAAACCAAAAATCTGAAAGTCTGGATAAAGTCGATGCACACATATAATATCAAAGGTTTACACCATTATGTTGCAAATATATAGGGATTGGACAACTTGAGTTTGTGGCAAAGACTCTATTCCTCTGTCTCCATATTGTCCGGAGGAATCTAAATTAGATTGAATTTTGTCGATATTCTAAATAAAGATAATGTCTTTTTTGATATTAATAAAGGCTAGAAGGTTCTAAGTGGGAATGAATACTGGAATTCTAAATGATGGGAAGATGAAGTAAAAAGTTTTTAGATCAATCAAGAATTGTTTGATTACTGGGGGGGGGGGGGGGGAGGAGTAAAGTCCCCCTGAAAAGAATTCCTAGATGTGCGACACATTCTTAATGAAGCATTAGGTGAAAATTAGCTCGAATACGAAATTTTAGCATTTTAAAATAAATTGCCTAAATGGCCGAGCCATTTAACTGTTTTCCCGCCTTTTTTGACATTTCTCGGCTAAATAGGGTTAACCCTGTCACCTTTTTAATGGATTTTGAAAGAGTTACCATTTTGGAAATCATTTAATTTGGCTATAAATATATTTGACAATTTATTTTCGATTTTTTAGTTTTTTGATGATCAAATTTTTACACCTAACCGTCAGCTACACTGAAAAGATTGTTAGATTGGAAGAAGTCATTTACATAAGAAACTGTAAACAGCTTAGACTTGATCATTAAACAAGGCCCAGCTCTAATATTTTGAATAAGTCTGAGAAGGTATCATTTATATCGACATTTAGCCCCCTGCCGCGTGAGTAAGATTCAAACCAATGTAATGTGTTGCCCCTGATTCCTGCGTTTTCAAGCTTTTTCAAAGTATCTTGTAATCGATATTGTCGTAAGCTTTAAAAATATCTAGCATGATAAGTAAAACAGATTCATTATTATTTAGTGCGCTCAAAATATAGTTTGAAAGCTTAGTGATTGCTTTTATAACATAACGTCCTGGCAAAAAAAACAAAAACAAATTAAACTAGATAGAGAACTATGATAGGATAAGCTCGGAGTAGGATTGGTTTGTTCTCCGTGAAATAAGGATCCGTCCTAGACTGAGAACTGCGGGGGATAAATAGAACCCCGGGTAGAGGTTGCTCTTTACATAGCGTATATATAGAGGAGTTTTCACAGATACACTTTACCTAGAGTATAAGATAAGATAAGATAAGATAACGTTTATTGCTAAAATAAATGTATCTGTATACAGATAGAGTTTACAATCACAAAATTGATTAAAACAAAGTGATTTCTCAACCCAGAGTCCTACTCCTCCCCCTGCATTACTATTTAGAGGAGTATCCCAGGATACACTTTACATAGAGTATACGTAGAGGAGTATCCCAGGATACGCTTTACATAGAGTATATGTAGAGGAGTATACCAGGATATACTTTACCTAGAGTATATTTAAAGGAGTATCCCAGTACGCACTTTACCTAGAGTGTATATAGACAAATATCCCAAGATTATCGTTTATAGTAATCTCACAAAATAATGGGATGGGGGGGGGGAGGAAAAGATTTAAACATTTTCTTCTTTAGATTTTCAACTTATTCATAAACCCCTGCTTTCACATTAGATTTACTTCAATTAATTGTAAAAATCATGATTAAATGTTTTCAAGCATTTTTTAAACAAATCTACAAATATGTATATTTAAATTACGTATTAGGAAAGAATTGATATTGTGAATAGTAGTATTTAATTCTTACACGAACATTAAAAATATGAACTAAATATGAAAATATTTTCATCTAAAATTGCGCAAAATTGAGATATTTAAATACTGATATCTAAATATATTCTGTTACAAATATATGCTTGAGAAACAAGCTTTGTCTGGAAATTGAACTTTTCCTTAAAAAATCAAACCTCATCAATTTTAAACCAAGCTAAGAACTTTTTTTGATTTCAAGATTCCATTCAATTATCTCCTTATTAGAAATGTATTCTTGGAACTTTAAGCATAATTTCATGTGACCCTCCATGCAGAGATTGCAATGCCCGATTTAAAACGGCATCCTTGAAAGTTTTGTCTGATCAAGTATAAATTAGATATCAATGCTTTGAGCTGAAAACTTTAGAATGGTGGATATCGAGATTAATGCTTGATCTCCTCTTTCTCTTAATCTCCAGATTAAATATTGCTTGTTCACCTCAATAATTTAATCTCCAGATTAATCAACAGATCGGGATTAAGGATATCATATTCTAAAGTTTTCAGCTTTGGTTTCTTTATTTTCTGTATTTTCAGTTGCGCGGGTTCTCTATGAAAGTGATTTGCGCATTTCTTGTTTATAAGACTCAATTTAGAAACTGACAAAAATGACCACTTTTCGAGTCAGAAAAACGACCGCATCACCCACATTTTTGATCAGATTAAGGTTTCAAGGATACCGTTAAAATCGGGCATGGAGGGTCACTTGAAATAATGCGTACAGTCCCAGCTCTTGATAAAATAATTCTGAATAATTTTATAACTGGGCAAATAAAAAATATTTATGTGTACTTTTTAATTCGTTTAAAAATATTTTTTTTTAAATAAAGAAACATCTCGGCAAGATATTTTGCTGTATGAAAATAGTTGAATTATTAATTAAACCATTTCTTCATTAAGGTTTAGTTAATTAAGTAACCAGAACCTTCCTGATTAATAATTCTATTTCCTCCTAATTTTAACATCAGATTTGTTTAATTTAAAAAATGAATATTGACTAAATTCATGAAAGTTTATAATTATACGTAGTAGTATTAATCAAATTTTAACAGTAAAACAAAGTGTCGAATTTGAATGTTTGCATGTTTTTTGTATGGGCATAGTGCTTATGTGCATATGTTGCCTACAGCCGGTAACCCCTGTACACTGTGATACATATAACTGGTAGCTGTAACAGGAACATAGGACAGGGGGCCCAAAGAGCTTTGTAATATAAAGAGTAGGCATTGGGATTTATACGCAAAACCAGACGCCTCAATTGGGTCCTATAAGAAGCCAAAGAATGTCGTCTTTTCTATAATTTAAAAAGATTTTAGGCCTTTTTGAGCATTTTCATCACCAAAAACTTGCGTTTTTTACATAATTTGCCGTTAGAAATGTATAACTTTATTATCTTTTTACATAAACTTTAAATTTTAAAACAGACTGCAATGTAATTGGTTTAAATAATTTGGCTACTTAAAACCAAGGTTTTTTCGGGCTTTGCTCACGTTACTGGCATACAATTCTGCTTTAGACTATAACAAAACTATACATAATGACATTCTAACAAATTTTGTTTTAAAATATATGGTATTTTTCATACTAATGAGATGCGTAACAAAATCACAATTTTAGCTTTATTTTAGCAGGAGAGCATCCAATCCTATCACTGATTAAAACAAATTTAGAAGTTTATATCCGTGTCATTATTTTCCCACCATTTTTAGCACCTACAATGATTAATTTATTTGATAACTAGAGTTTTAATGTTGATTGTTTGAATTTAAAACCAATACTGCAGCCAATGACGTCATATAAAAGTGTACAGAGCGTACACACTATTCGGATAAATTCCTAATGCCCTATTCTATTCTACCATCTTTGAGGGGGCCTATCCTTTAGATTGACCTTTTCCACGTTTTGTTTTTTGTGACTTGTCAGGTGCACTTCAGCTACACTCCAATATAGACAGATTTATGCAAAATTACTGTTACGACTTTGTGTCCTTGAAGCTCTTGAATAAATGATCATTTGGTTGCAAAGGAAATGAGTCTTGGCAACAAAATCTTATTTTCTAATTTTTATATCTTCTCAAC